AAACCAGAGTGTCTTCTAACATATAGCTCCACTTTAGGTGTCTGTCAGCAAATGACCACCACTGTGGGTGTCCGTCAGCAAATTTCCCCTTCTTTAAAAGACGCACTGCATTTTGATGATTTATTCCTATATAGGTGCTATATATAGATTATCACAGCATTCTTACTTTTCCTCTTATCACATTTCAAATACAGATTATAAACCATGGAGAAACCTTGCTGCAAACTGGCATTCCAAAGTGCCTTATAAAATCCTCCAAGAAGAGAAGTATGACCGTCACTACCTATTTAAGTTTCTAGCTCTAAGGTATAGTGTTCCTTCGCATTATGAAGCTTTTGGATTTCCATCTGTGCTATATGTTGATGTTATATTGCTATATTTGCTAAATACACCATTCAATGCTCATGTTTATTTTCTCTGAGCTTAGAGGCATACTTAATCAATTTGGAATGAGCTATTGCTACAAGTTGTCATCTTCTACTATGTATTTGTGTGATCTAATAAAGTGCACAGCCAGATTCAGCTGACTCATTAGGATTTCGCTATTTTTTATTCTAATCAATTCTATTCTGAATTTCTGTGGGTAAATTTACCAATGAGTTTCTGGATGATGTCTTAAATGCAGACCACGCAAACTATATACTCCTGTTACATTGTATATGTTTAGTCTTTGTATATAGACATGGATCGATTCCACATGGCTGCACTCATTTCTTCAGCCTATATTTTTCCACTGAGTCGTCGCTGTCACAGCTGTGTTCGCCTTTGTCATTGTTGCAGGGCTGGCCAGTCCCCTACTTCTTCTTTTCCCAGTCTAGCCAACACAGACTGTTTTTAGGTGCTCCTTTCAGTTAACCTGCGTTTGTGAGCCTGTTTGTCTTCTAAATGACTGCCTTCGTTGTGCTGCTCGAATTGCCCTTTGTTGCTTCAACAAGAATTAGCCAGTCTGTTCCATTCTAAAAAACCACGGTCATCAACCACGATTTCTGCTTTGCGGTCCTGCTTAGATACGATTAGATGTTCTTATCTGCACGGTCTGTCTGTGCCTTTACTGCCTATTCAGATGTTTCTTCATATGTCTATGAATTTGATTGCCTTTTAAATTAGTTGCTTCAACAAGAAACCACTATTTTGCCCTTTACCAATCCAGCAACATTAGTTCCTGCTCTAAATTTGCTTACTCCATGTAGTACCTCAGTTCAGTTGTGGGGTTATTAAAAATTGGGGACATGAAATGGTCATGCCGTTGGCTCTGAGGAATTCTGGAACTCATAGACTAATTTTTTCAAAATATTTGGCAGTATCTACGGGCTTGGTTCTATGAATGCTGTTATTTTTTACATTACGTGTTCTTGTCGATCCCTTTATACTTATGAAAAGGAACTTACAGGATACACGTAACAATAGTTCAGATTATTTCTTTACCGAGGTGCTCTCTAGATTATTTTATACCTTTGTCCTCTCTTGTTGCACAAATGATTTACCTGCATATAGGCGGTGTGCTTCCCACCCCTCAACTCAGTTAATTCTTTGCTTTATGTTATTTCCTGATTACATTTCAACGGCATTGGCATCAACCTGGTACATGCTCTCCTATTTTTGTCCAATTGAATCTTCAGGTTATATGAGCCTACATATTAACTTAAATATAGATCAGTACAAAATTTCTTCCATTATTTTTCGTATCCTAATAAGAAGGGTGGCCCTAGTGCAAGCGGTAGAGTCTTACCGCCTGTGACCGGAAGGTCCCGGGTTCGAGTCGCGGTCTCCTCGCATTGCACAGGCGAGGGTAAGGCTTGCCACTGACACCCTTCCCCAGACCCTGCACAGAGCGGGAGCTCTCTGCACTGGGTACATCCTTTTTTTATTTTTCGTATCCTAATAAGATGTACCTTTAAGTTATATATTTATTATGCTTTATCACCAGAAAAATGTATTGGCTGCAATGACATGTTCCCAGCAGACTATGGTGATCATGAAAATGACGCACATCTATCTGACTCCACAGGTATAGCTAAAATAAATCTAAACAGTATATCATCTAAACAATAGATAGCCTCAGCACTCTACACCTCTTCTTTACTACTCTACATGTTATGTATCTTGATGCAGCCACCACATCGAGTGCATGTGCCACTACCAAGACTCAGGTACACTGATCTTCCCTAAACACTCGCCACCTCTATCATACACTTTAAATACTAAAGGTAACTCACACATCTAGATGCATACACAGATTCATCCAGCAGCTCCTGACGTTTCAAACAACACAACAAGATACTGCCAGATGACAAGATCAGCATTACAATATCAACAACCGAAGCTTTCCATGTATAATATACGTCCTCATGTGCACACCACTGCCACTACCTATGCTGTTCCCTAATGTGCTACAGCCATAAATTGTACAGTTAAGACGTTCCTAGGTCTGTACAATATAACTATGAAATGAACTCTACATCCACCTTTCGCATGTAACACATGCATCTTGTAAGTCCAAACTTATTATATTCCCACAGATATATATGCAAATGAACCCTACCTTTATAAACCTGAATTTATTCACTTACCGGCGCGCGCGAAGACGCGCGGCCTTCACTAGTTATTAAATACATTCAACCATTTAAAGTCAAAAAAATAGTATCCAACCACCATAAGAATAGTATTTTATACTAAAAATACTACGAGACATTTCATGAAAACATGGAAAAAAAATATAAGCAACGAGAAAAACAAATAAGAAAAAGGCAAAAGACAAAAGGAAAAACTCATGTAATAGTATAAGTAAAATATACTTGAACATCCAAAAATGTATCATAGAACATCATAGGTATACTACACGAACATCACATGTATACAGCGCGAGCATCACATATGCACATCCAGAAGAACCAAATCAAAACAGAAAAAATATCACACACCATCCAGAAATATATCGTGAAACATTAGACTTATACTATGTGCACATCCAGAAATATATCGTAGAACATCCCATGTAAGTCATGTGAACACCACAAAAATACAACATAGAACATCACATATATACCATGTGAACATTAGAAAAAAAATCTAGAACATCACATATATACTATATGAACATCACAAAATATAACACAGAACATCACATGTATACTATGTGAACATCACAAAATACATCATATGTATATTACGTGAACATCACATGTATATTATGTGAACATCACAAAATGCATCATAAAACATCGCACGTGTACTACGTGAACATCACAAAATAGAGCATAAAACATCACATGTATACTGCGTGAATGCCACAAAACACATTATAGAACATCACATATATACTACGTGAACATCACATGTATATTACATGAACATCACAAAATAAATCAAAGAACATTACATGTATACTACGTAAACATCTCAACATACAACATAGAACATCACATGTATACTACGCGAGCATCATAAAACACATCATATAACATTATTTTATACTACGTGAACATCAAAAATACATCATAGAACATTATTGTATACTACGTGAATATCATAACATCTTATATAGTACTGAGATTTAAAAAGTAAGCATGAACAATAAAATAATTAATTAGAGTAAAAGAGAAAATAAAAAACTTATGGAGAACATAAAGACAAAAGGAAAAAAAGAAAAAAAGAAACAAAACAAAAAAGAGTAAAAATATAAAAACAAAAAATAAAATAAAAAACAAATTAATCAATTACAGCAAAAATAAAAAATAAATAAAATAAAGGTAAAAAATAAAAAAATAATAACAATTCACATAAAATAAAAATAAAAGATAAATTGATGCACGGAAAATACAAAGAATAGGGAAAAAAGAAAGAAAATAACAAGAAAAAGAAAAAATGGATAAAAAAGAAAAAAAGAAAGAAAGATTAAAACTGAAAAACATGAATCAAAAGAAAAAACATAATTAGAAAATAAACAAGAAATAAACAAAAATAGAAAAATAGAAAAAATAAAAAAGTGAAAGTAAAAGTAAAACCACAGGAACAAAAAAGAAAAAAAAAAGGAAACACGTACTGCCTACCTGCTCGCACCTGAGAATCCTGCATCCAGCCAGTTTGCGTGCAGTCGGTTTGCGTCCAGCAGAATCATTCGATCTAGGCCGCATGCTAATGGGCCGTCTCGTTCGAGCGAGCGGCGGAAGCGCGGACGAAGCGGGATCGGCGCAGGAATCCTCTGCGCGGGAAACCATCGGCGCGCGGTTCCGCTCCGAATGTTCGGACCGGAAGATTTCGGGGCCCGACCACCCTTTTGACAGATGGGCCACAATAAGGAACACGCACACGCCAGCCCAGCTACACAGTGGTGCCGAATGGGCCTAACTACAGTCTGGTAACACCTGAGAGCGCTGCATCGCTCGGAACGGAAGAGTAGGGAGAGAGACCTGGAGTTGGTGAAATCGAACGAAAGATTAAATTTAAGATGGTACCTCCTGATAACCTAGTACATTTTGATAAATCTTCAAGGATGATAAAAAAATCTGTGCAAAATATGGCAAGGTGGCAGCAGGATACAACATTCTAAACTTTGGAGCAAAACTCAGGCAACCACAATGCAAAATTTCTAAAGAATCTTGCATCATGTCGGATGTCTGTTCATGGTTTTCTTGAATTTTTGGATGCTACAATGTCCTACGGCAAATGCCACTAAACTGAAATGCATTTAAACAAAGACACAGCTTTAGAGTGCTGCATGAGTAAAATACAGTTGTAGCTCAATCTTAACTGAGAACTTAGAAAGTGGAAGTTCGTGCTTATGAAAAAAATAATTAATATTTTGACTCAACAAACACTGCACTTGGATGTATATAGAGGGACTCATCACTGATTGATACATTGGTGCCGCAGTACAAACAACAAATAATACATATAGAGGGAACTATCATGGCATCATCCACTGGTGCTTCAAACACACACTGCAAGTACATAGATCTTTAATTTTATACACGCCGCCACTAGTTAAAAAGCATTGAGAACTAGTACCTTCTCACCAAGGAGTTCCAAGTGACAATCATATGCACACACACCTTGTGGCACAAGTAATCAATGAAGAGGAAATAGGAGTACCTTAGTCCCTTATGCAGCAACATAATGCAGAAGACCACCCAGAGACCAACGATGAAGCCGAAAATCATGCTCAGTTTGATGGAGTTCATCAACCCATCGTCCTGATGCTGCTTAGGCTCAGCTGGAGAATTATTTGTTACATTTCCAGGGCAACCATTTGGGAGTGGAGGCCCACATAAGCCAATGTTTCCAACATACATTGATGCTGGGTCGTCAATTGCCAGTGTCTGAAGTTGATTCCCTGTTGGTATTCTTCCACTTAGATTATTATACGAGAGGTTGAGGCTGCTCAAAGATGTCAGAGCAGATATGCTTGAAGGGATCTGTCCAGATAGCTCATTGTGTGATAAGTCTAGGGACTCCAATGCCCCGATGCCACCAATATTACTGGGAATTCTCCCGCTCAAACGATTGTAAGAAAAATTCAAGCTTTTCAAAGCAACCAGAGCACTAATGCCTTGAGGAATCTCTCCGGTCAAATTGTTACATGATAAATCAATATTTACCATGTACATGATTCCTTGAGAAAATTCTAGTTGCTGCCTTTTTGTTAGCACTGATACGGTTTCTTCATAGAAAATCATAGCATTATAAGCATTCCAAATCATAGCATTATAAGTATCCCCCATTCCAAATGATTCAAGCTGATAAAGGGAATCACTATATCCATAAGTGTGAGCCATTGCACTCAAGTTCACTATGGACTCAGGTATTTGACCGGAAATGTTGTTACATGCAAGGTCCATATACTGAAGCCCTTGAATATTTGTAAGTTGCACAGGAATATTGCCAGAAAATTTATTGGACCGCAATCGTAAAAGTGCAAGGGATGGCAACTTATCTGCTAACCATGCTGGCAAATTTCCAGAGAATTGATTATATGCAAGATCAAGGAATACTAGTTCTTGGGACATTTGAAGAGCTGACGGGAAAGTTCCAGAAAAATTATTGCTATTTAAATTAAGTGCAACCATATATCTGAATGGGCCAAAATCTCTGTTGCAAGTGGGCACCTCTCCTGATAACATATTTCCTGATATGTCTAATATGTACAAGTATGGCACTAGGCACAATGAAGATGGTACGCTTCCAGAAATTGAATTGTTGTAAAGAGCAAACATTTGTAAACTCTGGTTTCCAAAAGCTGGTAATGTACCTGATAAATTGTTCCTGGAGAGGTCAAGATACTCTATGTTCCTAGGAAGACGTGGAACTGGACCAGTAATTCTGTTACTACTAAGGTCAATCATGTCTCCTGCTGGCATTATTTCATCAAGATTTCTTGGTAATGTACCACGTAGTCGATTTTTTGACATGTCCAAAAAGGTAGCTGTTGAAAGTATTGCCCACAACCAATCAGGTATATTGTCATCTATAGTTGCATTCGAAATGTCAAGAACACTGATACTCCTTTGCCATCTAATCCATGATGGAAAGGCAGGTCCAAGCTGGCAGGACCTGAGACTGAGCACATCTAATTTAAATTTAGGAATCCAATTAGAGCGTACCAACAAGGAAAGAGAGTTATCAGACATTTGCAATACTTGTAAATTTGGCAATCGTTCCAAATGTTCTTGATATATTTCACCAACCAAGCGGTTAGAGCCAAGATTTAGTACAGTCAAATTGTGAAGCCCTCCTATCCACAATGGTAAAGTGCCTGTGATATAGTTTCCACACAAATTTAAGCAGTTCAGATTATTTAGAGGCTCTAACCAAGTAGGCAAATTCCCACCAATGTTGTTATTATAAAAATCCAACCAGTATAGCTTGTCCCATGAACATTTTGGCAACCTCTCCATCAAATCACCTATAATACCCGTGACATTACTTGATGAGAGATCCAAAACCTTCAAGTTACACAGGTTCTTCAAATTTGGTGGTATCAAACCTGTAATATTGTTGCCACCTATGTATACTTGCTCAAGTGATGTCATATTTCCCATCTCATAAGGAATTGGACCATGGAAGCCAGATTCGGAGAGGTCAAGATAAGTCAATGTTGTTATATGCCAAAACCAATTGGGGAAAATTGCAGAATGAAAGGGGTTGAATTGGATGTCAAGCACTTGTAGCGTAGTTAGATTAGAATGTATGAGACTGCCAATTGTGTTTCTTAGATCGCTGCCTCCAAGATGAACAATTTCTAGTAAAGGAAGGCTGCTAACTGCATGAATCCAGTCTACTGCGCTGCTAAGATTGGTGAAGCTCATGTCAAGGTACTTCAGAGAGGAAAGACGTGACAACCATGAAAGACTCTCCGAGTATGGAGAGCCCCAACATGAATTAAGATCAAGATAGACGAGCTTGGATAGGTTACCAAGCTGTGGAGGTATTCTCCCCCCAAATACCGCACAGGAAAGGTTAAGATATTCAAGACTTTTAAGGGAGCCAATAAAGTTTGGGATGCTTGCGCTACTGAAGTTGTTGCAGCTCAAGTCTAAATGCTTCAGATGCTGTAATCCAACTAAAGAGGAGCTCATCTCACCTCCCACTGCGTAGGCAGAATCAGCTATAGAATATGCAGGGCGGCAGTAAAAATTTTCGCCGTGGAGGTCGAGCTTGACAACATGACTGGTTGTGTTGCTGCAGTGGACACCCTTCCATTGGCAGCAATCATCTCCTCTCCATGATGAGAGTCGGCCCATAGGATCTGATAAGCTGGCTTTCAGTGAAATCAGTGCATCCCTCTCACTCGCGATGCAACTTGCATTCGATCTCTTAGCTTGAAGGGAGGAAGTGGATGGCATGTTGTGCAGGATCAGAAGCAGCCAGATTATGGCTGTTGCTTTGAGAAGCAGGAACCTGAGTGCAGCCATTTTCAGCGCCTGCACACCTTTCGTTTCTTCTTCCTCTTCTATTGGGAATGTATGTGAATGTGTGCAGTACCGGCATAGCATTCACCGTTCAGTTCATCTTATTCGGTGGCATAGGTTTCTGCAGTCAACGTCTTGGTCGTTTTGGTTGAATGGTATCTCCACAATTTCTCGACCAGTCGTCGTCATATGCCGCCAGATTGGAAAAACGGTCTCATGTATTTGCATTTTCATTAATGCTATGAAAACACATGAGTACATGACACGAAATTTCTTATTTGCATAATACTAATATGATTCAATGCGTGGGGACAAGCGTGTTGACAATTCCCTACCAGTCCACCATTTACCATCATACACATGGGGATTTATTAGGCTTTCCCGGATTTTATCACGAGCGCTCTTTTATCACTTGAACGTTTAGCTATTAATATTTATTGTGCAGGTAAAGAAGTTGTTATCTACAGTTCAGAAAAAATTCAGATGGACTGTTGCCGATCTGGAGCTGCCCATTTTTCTAACTAAGAAAAAGAAAATATATCAGCCACAAGTAGGCACACCAACAAAGCCATGTCATCTCATCTAAAGAGATATTTACTTATGTCTTCATTTTATGGTCCGTTTTTTTTTAACATGCCTGTAAGGCCTGAAAATAAAATTCTCTTACCTATATGGCCTTTCGTCCGTTCTCGACACTTAACGGTGTTAAGTCAAGGGTAAAATGACCATTTTACCCCTAGTGAAAAAACAAAGTATAGAGTTTAATGCACGCATCAAAAGAAGGCTCAACCTTTGATTTGTGATATGCATATTGAATTCACTTGCTATATGTGATCCCAATGTATGATTTGTTTTCTTGCTAGGGGTAAAATGGTCATTTTACCCTTGACTTAACATCGTTAAGTGCCAGAAAGGAACGGAAGGCCATACAGGTAAGAGAATTTCTTTTGTAAGCCTTATAGGTAAGTTCAAAAAATACCTACCATAAAAGAAAGACACGTTATTTTGAGGGCCATACATTTAAATATCTCTCATCTAGCACGCACATCCACTCTCGTAGTCCGTAGCAGGCTGACATCAAGTCTGCAATAAAAAGTAAAGGAAGGAAGGAAGAAAACTGATAAAATGGGCCGAACCGAAGCCGGCTAATGAGACGAAAAGCCCAACACAAAAATAGAACAAACATGCTTGCCAGAAAGAAAACAGCTTAGGAATGAATGAACAATAATGATTCTATTAGGAGGTCCGTCCTCAACTCGCGCGCCGGACGAATCCCATTTTATTCCGATCCCATACCCGTCCCCCCCCCCCCCGCTCCCCCGTGCCCACTCCGCCCACACTCTCCCCCGCCCGTGACCCCCCCCTCTGCTCCCGCGCCCATTCGTTGTCAAGACTCTCTCCGGGCGTGCTTGCGCCCCCGGGATGAACGCCGCGCCCGTGTGCCAACTCGCTGTCGTCCTGTCCGCCCGTGCTCACTCCCTCCCTCCCCCCACCGAAGATGAGGACGACCGCAGCGGCTCCGATGAGGTAGGTCAATCCTCCTCCTCCTCTAGATCTGAGTGCTCCTCTTCCTCCTCCTCTGGATCTGAGCCCTCCTCGTCCTCCTCCTCCTCTGGATCTGAGGGACGCGGCTGTGGCTAGGAGTCCGGTGAGCTCTAGGGTCCTATTCCCTCCTCCCTCCAGCGTGCTCGAAGGTGATGGGTCAGGGGCTGTTTTGTACGCTTTTTTGTTATTTCTCCCGTGTTGCAATGGGTTTTTTTATGTTGCAACAGATGATTTCCGAATGTTGCAATGGGATTTTTGGGTCATTGCAACAGATGTTTTTGTGATGTTGCAGTACTACTATTTGAGATGTTGTAGTACATAATTTTCGATATTGCAGCAACATAATTTTCGATGTTGCAGTACATATTTTTTCGATGTTGTTGTACATGTTTTTGCGATGTTGCAGTACATAATTTTCGATGTTTCAGTACATAATTTTTGTTGTTGCAGTACATATTTTTCCGATGTTGCAGTACATGTTTTTCGATGTTGCACTACATATTTTTTTGCTACGTTGCAGTATTTATATTCCGATGTTGCACTACATAGTTATTCCATATGTTTGTGATATTACACTTGAAGTGTTTCGTGTTATTTGGGACAAGGGCGCGGTGGGGGAACAGGATGCGTTGGGGAGTGGTGTCTGGAACCTGTTCCATTCCATTTCATTCCATTCTGTAGGGGGTGGGCGGTTTGGGATCCGATTCTACGTGGGGTGGGGGGTGGGGTGGGGTTGGCACTACTACAATAAGCATTTATAGGGGCGGCTAGAGATTGTTTGTAGAGGTGGCTTAGCCAGCCACCCCTACCATACCGTCTTTACAAATCATGCATTTGTAGGGGCGGTTTCGAGACCGCCCTTACAAATCATTTGTAGAGGCGGAGGGCCGGTTGGTACTGTAACCGTCCCTACAAATCGATTAGTAGGTGCGGTCTGGGAACACCAGCCGCTCCTACAAATTTGTAGGGGCGGCTACAGTACCAACCACCCCTACAGTATATTTTTTTGTCAAAAAAATTCAAATTTACAATTCAAATTCAACCAGAACATATATTTTTCATGCACAACTCCATCATGACTTATCTTCTTCTGCAATTGTACTGAAACTCAATGACAATACACATTTATTTATACCAGATTATAACAAATATTCCATGACAATACACGGTGTAAATTATTGTGCTTGCTGTTCATTTAAACTATGAGACTGCACATAGGTATATGAAATGTAATGTGAAAACCAATCTTCACTCGATGCAAGTAACACAAGAGAGAACAAGACACACCGCAGCAATTGATGGTATATCTGCTCGACCTGGAGAACCATGTGAAACATCCATGCCAAGAATTAATGTTGGTATTTGAGTCACAACTGGTATCATTTGACGATGTTCCAATGCCAGTTTAGAGTTCATTCCACCAAGCTAGTCGACAGGAAAATCATATTAGTCAAGAAAAAAACTAATAACAGGATATATGTTCAAACAAGGTGCGGCCACAAATCAGATGCTGACAAATGTATACCTTAGCATTAATTTTTAGAAGAACATTGGTGAAATATTGATCATTCATCTTATTACTGGGAGCAATGCATTGAGTGACAATACCCATTTCATGAAGATTTTTCTTCTTCCATGGCCCTCATGTAAGACCTACATGTGGAAAAAAAACTCCAATGGTTAGAGCAAGAGAATCAAGAATACAAAAAGCAAACCAATTGAATCCAAATACCAAATCGGATTATAGCATAGATGTAAAGGTGGAAAGAGAAGCAGAAATACAAACAAGACATCAATATGTTTCTCTTTGTACAGATAAGTTAGCAATGTCACTCAAAAATCAAAACAGAGCAATATAGATTAAGAAATGGATCCATCTGCATGATTGAAACATGGTAAACATCATAAGATTTCTATCTAGGTGGACCACTGCCAGAGAAGGGCCGCTGGGACATTTTGAAGGTGGTATGTATAAAGTGACAAAATAAGATATTCAAATTTGCAAGCGGAAAATAAAGGTTTCTTACAGGTTCAAGGCAGTACAGAGGTGAATTAAAGTGAAAAATTTGTACATAGCTACTCCAGCTTCATATCTAAAAATCAAACCATCAATGAACAAACCGATATATAAAAGACCAATCATTGTGTTAATTTATGCTTCAGCTCTGATGCATATATCAGCTCTTATCATCCTAAACTGAGGAAATAGATATGAGAAAAGGACGTACCCAGTGCAGAGAGCTCATTCTTCTGTATGAATCAGTCAATGATATCCCAGATGATCCGTACATCGTCCCTCAAATAACTTATAAAATGATCAACATCAAAGATGACTTCAAATTTCCTGCAGAGAATATATAAGTTCTCAGAGCACGATAATCTGGCAGGAAGCAAATAGCATATCTAAGTAGGCCATATCATGTAAAAGTGGAGCATAGAATCATTTCTTAATTAAAAAGATGCTTGGAAGAGATTGTAAATTAAGCCTAGAAACAGCTCTAAGAGCTATATCAAACAGACTTAATTGACAACTGCCCTTTACACTAAGTCTACCGCACAATTAGAACACTCCTCAAGGTACTTGAAGGAAAGATGGGCAACAACTGTATTCTCACGGTAGCCATAACAATGGCTGCAACCTAGAGAAATCTAGGATAGCCCAAATGTGAATCTATAATTACATTCAGATGGGTAAAATATAGCAGCTACTACCAGAATAAAATTTGAGCAGTGGAGGCAGAGGCAAGGCAAAAGGAAAAATTAAGATGTCCACCTCACGAGCAGCTGCTGCGTTAGAGCAGGCAATATGGCAGCAATTGAGGTATTGAGAACATTGACAATATCATTATTCAGGAGAATAGAACAATATCCACCATTAGTTTGAAGAGGAAAAAAAAAATCCATTCAGCAAAGGAATGGAATAGTGCAGAAAGCACATCGCAAGAACAGATCCATACATCTGTCTAGAGCATGGTTGATCACTAAGGCCAATAATCTTGAACTCCATGTTGTTGTGCTTAGCTTTAACTCTGAGGTTTTTAAGCATTTTCTTGGCCTGCATCATTTAAAGGTAGATGTTAATAAAATATTTGAAGCTCTGCTCTCCAGAAGACAAATAATATAGGATTTTAGGGAGAGTTATTTTATTCCACGGACCCTGGGCCAGTCAATATCTCTGATGTCTCTGACATTTTGATTTGTGAGGAGAAAATCAATAACTGGACCAGGAGTTACAACCATAGTGGTTGAAACATCTGTATAACCAAAAAACAATTATACCAATATTGGCAATTTGAATCAAAATCCAGTTACATGTATTAAAATGCATACCCATGTTTAGTGAAAGACCACCAATTGTAGTACGGAAACTAGAATGGAGTCCACGACAGCCACTAACTCCACCAGTTAAATCAACAAGGTTTCGACCATCATCACTGAAAAATGACTGCCTAACAAGT